CCACAAGATAAGTGGCTATGAGTGTGTCTCATGCAGAGACTTTGGAGGCCAATGGCCTGGTGGCCACCAGCCCTGCTGGGGTCCCTGCCAGCCGCTCCGTGCTGGGTGAGGCCACGAGCAGCTGCTGCCAGGGGTCTGCCCCGCACAGCCAGGCCCTCCTGCTGTCCCCTGGGGTGGAAGGGGCTGCCTGCAGGGGCTGGGCTGGAGACAAGGCTCAGGGTATCCAGCCTTGCTCCAGAGGGCTCGGAAGGGCTCCTGCTGCCTCCCCACGTGTGTGCGCCTGACTGGCAAGAGCAGGGGCGTGATTTTTTAACAAAGAGCTTGCTTTCCAAAGAATATAGCTCTGTGATGAGTGACAATATTTGTTAATTTGGATTTAATCTGGTAACTAGTGGAACAAAATACTGAAAGTATTTTGAAAAGGATATTTTTGGCAAAACAAAGGCTTCGTTTTAACTTGGTGAAAATGAAGCATTTAAGCCTTCTGTTTTGGAAGGATGCTCTGATTTGAGATAAAACTCAGTTTGGTTAACAAAAGAAAGTGGAAGGGATGAGAAGGAAAAGCTGCATCCAAACCTTGTGGAGCAGGTAACTCCCTTGAGGGGGTAGCGAGGAAGTCTGTGGCCAGGGCACTGGCAGCACCTGCCCGGCGCAGAGGGCTGGGCACAGGTCACCAGCGAGCAGCTCAGCGTACAACGAGGTGGCCCCAGGGGTCTGCAGCTGGCAGCTGCCTGCGCTGGGGCAGTGCTGGGGCAGGCGAGGGCACTTGTGCCAGGGCTCCGTGCCCCCTCTGTTATTTTCTGCTCTTCCTGCTGCCCCCTGCTCTGTCCTCCTTTGACTCCGAGGTGCAGAGTTCAGCTCTGCACAGTGAGCGTTGTCTGAGTGTGGCTTCTCATCTCCCACATTTGGGTAAGTCAGCCATGGAATTATCCTATAATGTGGAAATCATACAATTTCTCTCTGATCTTCCCTGAGCTTAGCATTTCATCTCGCTTATACTAAATGCAGCATGACTAAGTAGGCAAGAAAGGGATTTGAGCCCTTTTGTTACTTAAAATGTGAATTAGACGTTCCTGAGGGAAGTTTGTGTCACATTTGCAAGTTAAAAATGCATCAATTATCTGTACATGGACCCCTTCCAGTGTGATGGTGAAGGAGGAGCAGAGCTGGTGGCTTCAGGAGCTGCACCGCCAGCAGACACTGCTGCTTGCAGGTGACAAGGTGGCATCCTTCTGCCCAGGTTGAGCTGCGCCAGCTCTGGAGGTGGCAGGGAGCAAGCTGGCAACTTCAGCGGGCCCAAGTACAGCAGAAAGTCTTGGTGGGACTGGAACAGAGGTGCAGAGAAGTTGCTCCATCACCTGCAGCCAGGGCAATGTGTAACATGTTCTCAGCGTGTGCTGCTCTCCTTAGGCTCCTAAAAGGTTCTGTAGGACTGTGAGGGGAATTAAAGCATTTGTGTGAATGGGGGAAAAAATGGAGCAAGGCCATCTAGGTGCAGCAGGTACAGGCTCTAGTCTAGGAACTGGAACATTCAGGGGTGTACAGAATCACAGCGACAGGCTGCTCCTTCCACCTAGCTGGAATTTTGCTTCCCTAGCAAAGGCTGCACAGAGAAGCAATCGCTGTCTGAGCAGCAGTTCTCTCTGATGCGTCACTAAGGAAAGAGGATGAGAGGGATTTTCCCCTGCCCACCCTTTGCCAGCTGCGTTTGGATTGTGCATGCGAGTTGGCTGCGGGTGCACGAGGCGAGGCACCAGCAGCAGCTCCCGTGGCCGCGGTGCTCGCGCCGCAGGGATGGGGCAGCACGCAGAGCAGTGTGCCAGAGCCTCGAGGACTCTCAGCGCCACTGGGTGAGGGCCTCTTGTGCGAGTCACTGCCTGGGGGAGCCGGGGATCACAATGCTCTCGCCGTTGCTCTTTCCTCCCTGTAGTGTTGCTGGGTACGGAAGGCACTTCAGCACTTCACCGCTGTGCCTGTAACGAGGGCCCAAGCGCTAATCAGCGGTTAGAGCAATCTGCCGCTGCTCTTACCCTCCCTCCTTTTCTCCTGGCTAGGAATTGGATGAGTGCAATGCTTAGTGGCACTCTAACTTGCAGTATAAATTGCACTGCTGTGCATTGCGAAAGGTCAAGCTGAATGACTTGATGAAATGGATTGACCTACTGAACAGCACTTCAGTCTATTTAAGGACAACCAATTGCGGCAAGAAAGAATAGAAAAGCTGAGCTAGATGAAGGAGGGAAAACGGGCATTAAAAAGTACCATTTCCTACACCTGGATTATCCAGCATGGGGTGCAGTTGCAAACAGAGCCAGCGTGTACCAAGCCACGTGTTGCTGGGCGCCATCTGACAGCGTGGGTTTCCTCCTCGTGCCCTGCTGGGGCTGCGCTCGGCCCTAAAAGGCTTTCCCTGTGCTGCCACCATCCACAGAAATCCATGAGGGAAGCAGCTGTAATCTTACATATTACTCCTCCGGTAGCAGTAGAGATGCTTGTTCTCTTGTGCACCTGCAGGGCATCATGAAATTGAGAATGCTGAGTGACCTCCAGTGCTGCACGCCACGAGTTCGGTGTGTGCCTGATGCTGAGACGTGTGGGGGCTGCGGGAATGGGGCCATCCAGGGTGGTGGCCATAGCAGGAGGACACAGGTACATGGACCCGGTGTTCTGGCATCTTGTTTTTCTAAGGCCAGCTCGGGGAGTAGCATTCATAGCAGGAACTGGCTTGGTTTGACTCTCCCATGGCAGACAGCATGCACCAAACTGGCTCAGAACATTTCAGCACGGAAAGAGTTTGCAGAGTTCCTCCATGCATCCTGCCCACCACGGCTCCTGCTGAAATGGCACGGCCTGGGCTCCTCTGGAGGGAGGGCTGAGGGTTGGCTGGAAGCAGCAGGAAAGGTCCGCCACCTCCCTTCCCACAGCAAGGGGGCCTTTGCAGTGTCACTGTTGCTCTTTGTTCCTTTTGTGGGTTTCTCCCTGTTGGCAGGCTTTATTGATGAACATTACCTTGTACCTTATGTATATTTACAGGTTTTTGTGTGTGACTGGGCAGCCGAAGTACTGTGCAAATGTTGCAAAATTGCCCATTTTCTGGGCTGACTCTGGATGCTGAACATCTCTGAATTTGGCTCAGAATAGAAACCTTCACACCTGAACATTTCGTGTTGCAGCTGTGTTCAAGGGCTGAATTAACAGCTGTGGCTGTGCAGCATTGCATATGATGTGTTCTTGCATCAGATCTTCTTACGGGACTTTGTCCTAAGCCAGGAGTCTGAAGAAGCACTAGGCAATTTAGGGAATGGGCTACATGGCTTGAATAGCAGATGCTCAGAGCAGTACATGGTGAAGTAACAACTGATGCACTGGAATATAATTCTAGGGACTGTTTTAAAATAACAGACTCAGAAATTGAAGCCCATTTGTGCTTAACTAGCCACTATTTTTGATGCAAAAGTATGTGAGTTATTCAGTGTGAATATTTAGGATATGCTGAGCATAATTGCAAGAGCTATGGTAAAGCAAACCCCACGTTTAATCTGGTTTAGGTTGATTTCTTATGCATTTTCTCACAGGATTACAATTGAGCCTCCCTACTGACAGGACTTCCTGGCTGCTCCTGTAATTAAAGCACAACGGTGACCTGCACTGCAGTTTAGAGGACAGAATTATGGGTATTTGTTCAGTAATGATCTCTGCCATAAAGCACAGTGCATTATATTCCATTTATGATCCAAAATATGAACACTCATGAGCAGCATTACTGTGGCATCACGGCACAGTGCGGCTGTGTTTTTGTGTGAGAAGGGAATTTGCATACCGAATGTGTAACTACATGGCAGCGATTAAGTCACAGGCACTACTGGTCTCTCCTTAAATTGCAGAGGGCACAAATATCAGTCACTTGCATTCACTGAAGCCATACCTGCAACTCTTCTGTGCTAAGCACAGTTTGCAGTGATGCTGAAGCAGCGCTGAAGAGGTTGCAGACAGAAGGGAGCCCAGACCAACACCAGCATCTCCCCGTCACAGGCTTGCAGATTTCCTTGAGGCACAAGACATTTTTCACACCAGTGTCAGAGCCCCTCTCCCCTACTTCTCCAAGTGTCAAATCTCATTTGTGCTCCAGCTCTGGTGACGACATCCCTCTGGATAAATTATTCTATTGCCCGATTGACCTCTTGGTTATGAATATTTTGCCCTAATATTTTACTTGAGTTTTCCCTTTTCTATTTTGAGGCTCTTGATCTTTGGTGCTGAAAATCTCTGTTCTTTCCTCTTTTGGGCAGCCCTCTATCACTTTTCTGCTTCTGAGCTCTTTCTGTGCCAGGCCTCCATGCTATGGAGCCCACTGCATGGAAATGCCGTGTTGTGTAACACTGGAGAAGGGAATATTCCCCAAGTCCCCACACCGAGGAGCAGCCAGGTGCCTGGCAGGTATGTGCCCCAGCATGCGGGAATGCTAAGCACAACTGGCAGCTGCTGAGGGAGCTTTCTTGTCACGCAGAAAGGGGAGATCAAATGGTTGCATCCTCAGCCTTAAGTAAAAGGAGCTGAGGCATGAGGTATGAGCAGGGCGAGGGAACCAGGAAGATCAACTTCTTGCAGCAGCAGACAAAATAAACTGCATTAAACAGAAAAGCGCATCCTGGAGCACCTTGCACTGGACCTGAATCTTCTGTGTTTGGTGCTCTGCGATGTGGTTGGCATTGGGGCGGTGTCAGGACACCGATGCCACCAAGCGAACGTGGGGGACCAACCGTCCCAGCCGCCTGCAGAGCCTGGTAGGCAGATGCAGGGAGGGAGCAGGGAGGCTTCGTTGTGGTTCTCGGCTGCTGGGGCTGTTGGAGCAGCTGAAAGACTGCGTTTTCCCTCCAGCCCAGCTGTGGTGCTCAGCAGCCTTTGGGAAGGATCCCAGCTGCTAGGAATGACAACTTTACTCAACAGGCTGAATTGGGAGCTCTTTCCAGTTCCAAACACTCTTTTTGAGATTAAAAAGGTTAAAGGAACCCAGCTGCTTTCAGAGTTCAGCAGCTGAGCTGTGGGGCGGGATAAAGGTTCCCCAGGATGGGAGGGAGATGCAAACCCTTCATCTGCCCTTTGGGTGAGTACTGCAGCGTTATCTCTAAACCAATACAACATGGGATGAGCTGCGCGGTGCTGCCTGCCCTCCCTTGGGTCCCCAGGGTCTCCACACTCACCGCAGCTGGAGGGCAGCGACCCTGCAGATCCCTGCCCTGCGCTACCAGCTTTAGCTCCTGGAGTGTGATTTTGGCATGCTCAGGAGCGGGGAGGCACTGCAGGCATGGGTGGGCAGGTGGAGGAGACCAGGGTGACGATGGAGCCCGTGTGCTTGGGATGTGACCGGGACTGTTCGTGTGCTGTGTTGATGTGGAGGCAGGGTGCTGCTCTTTGAGAAATCGTGTAAGATGGTGAGTCTGCTTCCAAATTCTTCCAAGGACAGCAACGTCTCACCTCCAGAAGCAGCCCTAACCATGGGGAACCCTAATTTCTTTCCAGGATTGAAGCAGGGTACCAGCTGTGTGCTAGTTTAAACCAACATTGATTTTCATAATGTCCCTTTAAACCTGATATAGATACAGTTTCACAGGGCACTCTTGGGACAGAATTGCTACCACCTAATTGATTTTGATTTTATTTTCACTGCAGCAGTGTAATTATGAAAGCCAGCTATAATTATTGAAACACAACTAGAAGTATTTCATTATTAAAATACCCTTATGACTTATTATTAATTCATTAAATAAATTTGGATTATATCCCTCAATAATTAATGCACTGAAGTTTATTCTGCGAACTCTTCCTTATATTAGTAATGTGTCAGTTTTTAGTATTAAAGGAAAAAAATCCATCAAAGTATCAGAAAAAAGCATCAGCTCTTTATGAAACGAAGTGAGACCAGGGAGGCTTTGGTCAGGTGTGAAGCCAGCCTCGCAGGAAGCTGAGCTGACAGCCTTTCAGGCTGTGTGTGTGCTCAGGGACCATCCCTTATGGGCTCTGGTAGCGGCGCGGTGTCCCGACGGCAGGTCCCGCGGGAAGCTTGAGCTGTTTCTGCTAGCAGAGGATGAGTCTACGAAACTCAGCTTCCCCACTTAGCAGAGCCGAGTTTCACACGTTGTATTTGATGTGTGTTTACAGGAAAAAAAAACACAACAACAACAGACAAAAACAGAGACTGAAGAAATGTGTTGATTCAGAAGCTGCGCTCCTGCTACGGAGCTTAACCGAGGAAGGGGGGGAGATTCCAGCTAACTGCTTGCACCGAGTTGCTATGGCAGCCGGAGTTTGGAAAGTAAACAGGTTTCGGGAAGGGCTGCTCCTCTCCTGAGAGGTTGTCTGCTAGGAATAACTCCAGAAAGCAGAGGTGGGGGAGAGCCCAGCTGCAGCCATGCGGCCGCTTCCTTGCCCCGAGGCTGCGGAGAGGCGGAGGGGTGGCGGTGGGGTGGTGGTGGGGTGGCGGTGGGGTGGCGGAGGGGTGGCGGTGCTGCAGTGGCCCCTGATGAAATACTGAACACCCAGGGAAGCAGAGGGAAGTGAAGGCGTTCCCACCAGCCTGCTGCAGTCTCTGTCATGGTGCTCTTTGGGCTCTGAGCTCTGCTTACAGCCCCTTTGCCCATCCGTCATCCTCTTTAACAGCAGCACCCCCAGGCACTCACTGACGAAGTTCTGTGACAGCCTAACCCTTCCTCACCATTCATGAATGGATGAAACAGTGCTAGTAAAAATACCAAGAATAAAGAATCTGGGGCACGTTGTTTTGTCATTGGGTGCTGGGGAATGTGTGGCACAGCCTGCTTTGTAACCTACTCAGCCATGGAGGGAGAACACCCCAGGTCTCAGCTAGAGGAGTCTCTGAAGGCTCAGGCTCCCACCTGGGCTCCTTTCCAGGGGATGCAGCAGTGTGAGGCCAAGCAGCTCGCCTAGCTTTGCCTATTGTCAGGGACTCTTTCTCTCCATCTCCTCCTGTCAGATTGAATGCCCACTCGGCACATGTGGATGTTGCTTTGCCTGGTGTCCAGGGCAAGGTACATATCCCTGCAGGGACTGGGAGTGCTGAGCAGAGAAACCAGGTGCTGAGAACCCACAGAGACGGCCGTGGGCAGGCAGGGAGCTCCCTGATAAAAGACCCTGTTAAACTCCAGAACAGTCAGAAAAGAAGAGAGTAGGTTGTCCTAGGAAAGTAGGAGCTCAGTGCTTCAGAAAAGAGACCACGAGCAGGCTCTTGATGCTGGTCTGCTAGAGAAACAGCTCCCTTGCAAAGCATTTGTAAAGCAAAAATAAGTCAGATAAATGTGTGTAGGTGTTTGTATGATTTAATCTGAATTATCATATTGCTTACGTGAGTCAAAGTAAAAGATGCTTATGTTTAGGAACTCTTTGAAGTATTTATTGTACTGTTTCCTAAAGAATTAAACTGCTAATTCAGAGAGCTCAGCTGGATTTACTGTTGTCTGGCTGACTTGGCGAGACAGTTGGGTTTGCCGGAGTCCCATGTTTCTGTAGGCAGATGCACTGCATGTGAGCAGATCAGTTTGCTCACACGCAACTCGCTCTGACACATGCTAGACCCACTAGAACCAGCAGGCATACACCAGACACACAAGTAGGTACAGCAAATATGTCCTACACGTGATTTTCACATTTTAACAGGGCACGTTGCAAGGCTCTGTTGTAGGAGTCAGAAGGACGTTCATACCTTTGTCCATTTTTCTTGGGAACCGCTGCTAAAATGAGATGAAGCTGATAGAGGCACGTGTCCCTGAGCACCGTCTTCAAGGCTTTCTCCGGGGAATTGAAATGCCACTCCGGGAGGCAGCTAATCCAGCAGCATCTTGGCTGTTGTGTCAACCTCATCTCCAGCGCCTGCTTGTCTCACCAGCTGCTTCTCCGCTTCCCTCCTCGCCTCTTCCCCAGCGCTTCCCTCGGAGCCTCTCCCTTCCGAGGCTGCCCTCTCCCAGCCCCCAGCCCCTTCTGAGCCCCGCAGACTGGGTTTGTTCCCTGTGTCTCTGGGCCGTTGCCTCCTCCTCTCTCCCTGCTTTGGGCAGGGTCTCCCAGGGACAAGCCCTCGCAGTGCCAGAGGGAACCTCCCAAACTTCCCACCCGCGAGCATCTCCCTGGGCCCGTGTCCTTCAGCAGACCCATGGACAGTGAGGACAGGTCATGGATTTGAGACACAGTGCTGGAAAGTAAACCTGCTTTTTGTCAGCAAGGAAAGCCCTCGTCAATACCTGATTTTAAGAACAAGCCTCCTGAAACTTAGGCTTTTCCAGCTTCCCTCACACTTCCTATAGTTTGTAGTTTAATTATCAAAATATGCTGCACTTCTGCACTGATTCCCTCTCCTGAATGCTCCTTCTCTAGCATCCTGCGATTCTCTATGACCTCAGAGGGTAAAGCACTTAAGTTGCCCTTGAAGACAAAAAGAGAAAGTCTTGTCTGAGGTGAAGTCAGTATCTATCCAATTTTCAGCTGCCGTCACATCGAAATGAGAAATCTGAAGCAGAGCCAGGCACAAATAGCTGATAACAGACTTTCAGGTGCACCTCTTCACTTATCACTTCTAGGGTCACCTCTGTTTCTAAAGACTTGTTTTCCTTAAAAAAAGATTACTTAGGACATTTAACAGTGTGGTGTTGTGATAACAAAACCCTGTGAGGCTTTAGTTTTATGCCTGGGCTGCTGCAGAGATGCAGAGTCTCCTAATGCCGGTAGTCCTGAATTTGTTTCTGAAATTATTTCATGAATTAAAGCAGTGAGAGCAGAGAAGGCAGAGCTCTCCCTGCAGGATGTTTCCTGCCCCGCCGGGCACTGCAGGCTGGCTGTGGCTGTGACATGGCAGTGGCAGGCTGCTGCATGTCCCCTGGTGTGGGATGTGGGTCTCGTCCCCTTCCCCGCTGGGTTCTCCTCGCCCTGTGGGATAGGATCGGGCTCTCTGAGGGCCAAGCCGAGCTGGGAGCAGAAAGGGAGTTATGAAAGTGATGGAGACACAACTTGTTTTGAAACAGGGTGCTTGGCACATACGGAGAGATGCACACAGACTGGTGCACAGATTTGTTTAGCAAACAATAACCTGTGTTTTGTGCATGAATAAATAATTAACCTTATTTAAAAGGAGGAGAAAAAAACCTTTTGCTGTATACAAACCTCCTCTTCCCTGTCTGCTGGGTGCAGGCAGTGTCCCTAAGCCCCTGTGAGCACATCCCGTGGCTCATCAGGTGGCACCTGTGGTGCTCTCCTTTGCTGGTGCTCGGCACTGAGGGGACCCCACCGGGGCATCGCCCCCTGCACGGAGCGCACGGTGCGCAGCTGGGCTGATGGCCAAGGGCTGGGGCCTGCTGGTGCCAGTGGCTTCTGTGCATGGGGAGCAGAGCCCTGCCAGCACCTTCACTTGGGTCATTTGGTGTTTCCCTCCCCCCCCCAGCATGACCATTTTCTCTGCTGCACTTTCTCCTGCCTGCTCCAGCTCAGACTTCATGGAACAAGCAAAGCCTCTCCCCATCTGCTCATGGATCATTTCTGGGGCTGAGCAATCCAGCTCTGGTGAAGTGTTTGTGGACAGGCAGCCTCCAAGCCATCAGCCATACCCTGTCATTTCTGCTTCGGCACTCAATTAGGCTCAGAAATGCTGCAAAAATACCAAAGTGTGGAGGCGCTGCAGGTTTGTTTGGCCAAGTGAGGTGTTCTCCCCTGTGCATGGCCCAGCAAGCAGGCTGGTTTAAGGCCCAGGGGCTGGTTCCTCTCTGAACTAACCCCACGCTACCACAGCACACAACAGGCTCTAGCTCCATCTCTGTGTCACTGTTATCCCTCTGTCTTCCGCTGTTCCACCTGCTCAGACTTCTGCCTCCCCAAGGCTTTACAATTTGAATTGTTTTCTGATGCTGAGGGTGCTGCAGTTTGAACACAACAGGTCAAATGCAAGAAGCTGAATGAGTGTTTTTTTCCCCTCATTCCTCTGCAGTTAAACTGAGCAGATATCAGAAGCCCTGGGAGTTCAGCAGCAGAAAGCTGGAGCAAGCAACTCCTCACGTGGGGAAGGCAGCACACCCACCAGAGCCCAGGCACTGAAACAGAGAGAGAAATTCAGGCAGAGGCAGCCACAGCCATGTCTCCTAATGCAAGGGAATAGCCGTGTGTCTCTGGGGGAGCCCTGAGCACCTGGTATCCTCTATGTATTGTAGATTAAAACAGAAAATATTGTCCTGCTGTCTGTCCAGAGCTGTTCCTGCTCTCCCTTGTGCTGGAAGGGCAGGAGATAGTGGAGACTTTAGTTCACAGCCTGCTGTCATTGAATTACCCCCATGGGCTTTTGGTAGAACACAAAATGCGAAGTCCTGGGACCAGCTGGTGTCTGCAGGAGCTCCTGTGCACACTGCCTGGACGCTGCCCCAGCCTGTCGCTCTTTCTTTGCCATTTGCAGAAGTTTTTCTCTTCGGTGTCAGGGAGTAAGCATGAAAAAGCACCCCAAATGCTAACATTGTAAAGGCTGAATGGGAAAAGAGATGAAGGAAGAACTTAGGATACTCGAATCCTAAGCAAACAGAGCAGAAAAGTCATCCTTGGGGAAGGAAAGGAGAACTCTCAATAGTTTTTGTGCCATTGTTATTGCCTACATAGTTTTTAGACACATTTGGCTCCTGCACATACCCCCAGTTACCCAGCACATGTGCATTCATCCTGTAGCTCTTGGCCTGGAGAAAAGCCCTTACTGCTTGCAGGGACCAGACCGGCTTGGATGAACTCCCCTCATTTCTTCTTTTGCAGGGCTGAGGCTCCTCCTGCCACTGGCATCGAGTTTCCATACTCCTGCAGCAGTCCTCTTCCTGCCAGCCAGCCGTGTTCCTGTTTTCTTTGTCGTTTTAAAGTCAGTTCATGGGCAAGTGAACGTGGGCAAATCCAAGCAAGGGTGAACTACCTAACGCCAAGAAGTCTCAGCAAAGCACACCCCATCCTGCACAGTGGGGTTTTGCACGGCAGTGCCGTGTTAGCTGGGGGCACACACAGGTGAGGGGCTGGGGGCACACCAGCACCGGGCACCCCGGGCATGACAGCAGTGGAAGCTGCAGCGAGCAGCAGCAGCAGCAGCAGCAGCACGGCTCCTGCCTTGGTGGTGCGGCAGGGGTGGCTGGGGGCTTGCAGCTCATGGGGTGTTCCAAGCAGCGGCCAGGCCCCAGGCAGAGATGCTTCTTCTTCTGCCATTTCTAAATTTCCAGGGCCAAATACGAGGCAGAGAAAAGGATCCTCCATATGTGCCTTGCCAAACACTCGCAGATGCAAGCCCAGATGGCAGCTCCCACTCTGCAGTACCTTCTCCCTGTTCTTTTCACGGTGTCGGGAGCCTTCCTTGGTATCAGATGCCGAGTGTGTATTTGCTGTTTATGTTCAGGGAGACTGGAGCTACTATTTTGGAGCAGGGAAGGGAATGGAAGAGCAATCATTTGTGCTGATTGCTAATTTGAATAAGCTTATTTTTTAGCTTCAGCACCACAGGATCTACCTTTGAATATCAAACGAGGACACGGCACGTTGTTGCCTGTGTATATCGATGCCCGTGCTGCACAGTGCTTTGGGCTGGCAGGGCCGGGCCGTGTGGCTGGTCTGGGCTCCATCCCGCCCGGTGCTGGTGGCAGCCAGCAGTCCTGCCCCGCCACAGCCCTGCCCGTGTGGCCATGATGGAGTGCACGGTGGCCCAGAAGTGACCAGGCTGATTGCCATCGTGCTGCTGGCCAGGCACGAGACCACACAGGCTGCCCTGTGTCACCTGCAATCGCCAGAGAAATGCAAGTGGTCCCTGGCCAAGGATGACCCCTCCCCACAGCAGGGCCATGCTATGCCGTGCCGTGCCATGCCGTGCCATGCCGTGCCGTGCCATGCCGTGCCGTGCCATGCCGTGCCATGCCGTGCTGTGCTGTGCTGTGCCATGCTGTGCCAGATCGCTCCTCCAGCGGGTGAGGGACGTGCTCGTGTGCCGGGGCAGCAGCACCCTGTGCCGGCTGGCGTCAGCCCGGGGACATCTGCGACCCCCCCGCTAGCCCCGAAGGAAGGGAATACCTGTCAGCGTGCCAGACCCTTCAGATGTCTCTTTCTTATAGAGAAGATTTTGGGATAAAAGGTTCAGTCTAATTTATTCCATCAGTGTAACAGTTAAGCATTCAATTACAATATTGGAAACAGCTTTGCAAAAGAAAAGCATCGGAAAACCAGAGCCGCCTTGCACGGTTTGCAGCGCTCTGCAGTCTCTTCCCTCCCACCCTTCCCTGCTGCATGTTGCTTACCGGGGGCCCTGCTGTCACAGCCCTCTGCCTGGGGTTTCTGCCCCCAAACCAGCAGTGGTTCCTGTTGCCATTTCTGCTGCAGGGAAACCACCTCCTTCACTCCCACCCACCCCTGGAAGGCAGTTTCTAAACTGGTCACTTTGTGATTCCAGTTCCTGCAAAACTGAAGGTGTTTCCTGTCCTCCCCGTCTTATCCTGGTGCCCCAAGAACCTGCAGGGGAGAGCAAAAAGAAAAGATGGTTTGGAAACAGATGAAACCCTGAGCAGACCCAGTGAAGGTGAAAACCAGACAGACCTGGGTCAGAAGAGGGGGGAATGTGGGGAGAGGCTGGGAGGGGGTGGCTGGGCATGGAGCAGTCCTGTGGGAGGGCTGGGACCAAGCTGGGGCTGGGACCTGCCGCTATGCGTGGGGCAGCCGGAGCCCCCATGGCCAGACACCAGCATGGCTGGGGCACCCCAGTCCTGGAGCTGCCATCCGCAGGGAGACCAGGGCACGGGGATGTGGCTGTGCCTGCTGGGCTCTGCCCTGTTGGTTATAGGCACTGACTTTCTGGAGCACCAACTTCGTCCAATTTAAATAAACAAACCCTGAAAACAGGGAATTGTAATTGAAATGCTGAGAGATTCTTATCGATAGCATCAGAGGGTGCAGTGTTGTAATAAGCAGTCCTTCTCAGATGCTAGGAGTTATTGAGGTTGCTCCATATCTATGACAGTTTAATCAGATCTTGAAAATCAGGGACATTATATTTTGCACCTGCTCATGGAAAAAAAATGAATGATGCGGCTCCCCGTCATGGATCTTTTATGCACAAGGCAGGCTACCGAGAGTACATAATTCAGAGGGGAAATGGAATTACACCATGAATGAAGACTAAGCCCAGAGAGTGGTTGAATGTCACACCGGGTGGAAGAGGAACATCTCTTCTTTCCTCTTACCCAGCCTTGACAAATGAGATGCAGGTGAAATTTATGGAGGCTCTTCCACCACCGAGGGAAGAGAAAGGGCTGTGAGCACCAGGAGATTTTTAAGAGAACATTTCAGAGAAAAGCTGCCTTGGTTGGGGTGACCAGGACACAGGAACAGATACGTTTGCTTTTCTTCTCCTTTTATTATCTTGAGTATGTGAATATACTTGCTTGCTTAATCTGTGCATTAACTTATCCTATTGCCAGTACTTAAAATGCATGAAAAACATACAGCCAGAAGGTTTAAATACAAATCCGTTCACTTATAAGTGGCCTTAACATCTGTGAAAGGTTCCAAGTCCTTAGACAAGAAGCAAAATAATGGATTTAGTTTTGATTTCTAAAACACCACCCAGAGGTGAGGAGTGAATTCAGCAGAAATCAGAATGGATTTACTTTCATTTTTCTGTGGAAGCATGAAAGCAGAGACGTCAAAGAGAGTTCATTGCTGAAGGAGGTTCATTATCTGTCCCACCCAGAACGTGGGAGACTGAGCTGGAAAGCCACTACCCGCAGAAGAGCCCCGTGCTGGTGCAGGGCATTCACAACTCGACGGTTTCTCCTCTGCAATCCCCTTATCGCAGTGTCGGATGTGCAGAAGCTCAATGCACAGTAGTCACCATAAGGCAATAAACATTTACCCACAGCTCCTACAGCCAGCCGTTAGAAGCTGCCATTGTTTTATCTGATTAATCAGTGAACTGAACAGCCAATGATGCTGCATTTAGGGGCTACTACTGCTGCATGTGCTGGCCCCAAGCCCCCACACGGCTAATATGTGCCTGTCCTGAAGTGGCACCCGGCAAGGGCACGGCTCCTCGGGCCGGGCAGATGCGACCGTGCCTGCGGCTCTGCTCTGCCCCACGCCATGGGCAGCAGCTGCCTGTGGAGCCTGAGCAGGGAGCGCGGGTGGAGCGCTGCTCGCTGCCTTCCCTGGGGGTCAAATCAGCTTACAAAATGCTGCATAAGTACTGCTGAATAAAGAGCGGAGCTTTTGAAGCTGCTATTTGGTCATGGAAAGAAAGGCTAAAATGTTTGTGGCAAATTATTCATTCAGCTCTGCCAATAGAAGCGGTCACGTCAAATCAGGCACAAAACTGCAGCTTTTCTGGTGTCGAGCATTCAGACTGCAGTTCTCTTTGATCTGCTCTGGGTGAGAGGAGGGCAAAGGCAGAGATGCCTCCAAGGAAGGAGCCTTTCAGCAGCTGCCCTGCTTGTGCCTTGTGCCCAGGAGGGTCTCCAGGCCCGTGGCTGTGCCTCCTGCGAGAGTTCCCTGAGCAAGCACCGTCGCGGTCAGCCTGCCTGCCAGCAAAGCTGCTGCATTCGTCTGTCTGCGGGAAAGTGAAGTGTGTTTGAGGAGCCCATTGTATCTGACAGTGCTTTGGAGATTGTCCTGAAGGGCAGCATGATCTCAGGGGTGAATGCAAAAGCAACAAGACCAAGGTCAACGCCACACAGTGATAACAAAATAAGCTCTCTTACTTCTCCTGCCCCAACAAGGGTCGTGTGAGACTCTGAGCTCCTGTCAAGCAAGGCTGAGCAAAAGGTCTTTATCCTGTTGGCATCTGTGTAGCTATTCCGACCCAGGCTGAATACCTGGCTTGCTCACAAGATCACCTTCTAACTACCAACAGCAGGCAAATACCACCAAAAACCCACTGCCCCCAGGGCTATCTGCAGCATCTTCACTTTCCCCTGTGTCTGGCTTCATGTAACTGCTGCGGATGTGGCATCTTGTGGGATGCTGCGGGTTCAGAGGCCAGTTCAGCAGCTCAAAGGGGTAGCTATGAGTAGCATTGGCCCTCAGTGCGACCCCAAAGGCAGCAGTGTGGTGGGACAGGACCTTTCCCACACTCAGAGGCGGCGTTTCCTTTTTCTCATCTGAAGTCTGTCGGAATTTCTTTCTCAATTGCATCTGGTTGTCATCCTCCCATCCACCCCACATTGACTTTTTATTTCTCTGAAAGCCTTCTCATTCCTTTTCTGCCTTCCCGAAATAGCACAGGCTTCTGCTGGCGTTTTCCCCAGCTGCCACGTGGGCAGGAAGGCTGCCCTCTGCGGAGACTTCGCACCTCCGGGAGCGGGTGTGCTCCCCGCAGGGAGCGCTCGCTGCTGGCAGAAATCTCCTCCTCTGCAGAAGCCCGCAAGCCCAGAAGGATTCTCATGGCAAAGCTTTTCCCTTGCTGGAGAAATGTGATAGCTCTTGGACAGGGTCTCTTCTAAAGAACTTGTCACCGGGGAGAACTCCACTTTGAAGTTCTTAATCCCGCTCCTCCCTCTGAATGAGATCCCCAAGAAAGAGAGCTCTCCATTCTTCACGAAGCTGAAATATTTAAAAGAGGAAAGCCTTAAATATTAATGGAGAGCCTTGCACTGTTTTTGAGGAAGCATCGTGAAACAGAAAGTGCTCCAGGAAACCGCCACAGACACACGGTTCTCACATGCAGCTGAGCGCAGACATCCAAACATCTGCAACAAACCCGCAGCTGTGGGCTCTGGTATCCCTTTCTGGTTAGGGCTATTTCTACAGAAGGGTTTGGCAAGGGGCTAGAGTTGGTCTTTCAGCAAATGCTGATGTTTTCTTCATGATCACACGTGCTCTGTGTGCTGCCAACCCCTGCTCAGTGCTGGTGGGGCACAGCAGTTTGCTGCCTGGTGCCAGCATGGGGCCAGACAGGCTCCGGGGCGCTTCAGAGCGGTGCTGGCAGGAGCCGGCAGGAGCCAGACACATCTGGAGCACAAACGGTGCCGCGGCCATGGACGGGAGTGTGGTGGCTCCCAGACCACTGGTGGGCAGCCCCGCTGCTGGCCGCAGAGCTCTGCTGCATGCCATAAGGTGGCAGGGCCATGGCTGGCCGCAGCAGGACACGGCGCTCACCCTGGTGTCAGCAAAGCCCTGCCCTGCCAGATCTGGCCTTCACCTGGCTCTGTTGTGATGGAACCCAGCAGAGCAGAGCCCTGTTCTGCTGCTGAACAGCACCTGCTTGTCCCAGGCAGGAAGGGCCGCCTGCGAGCAGCTGGTGCTGTGCCGAGGAGCGCCGAGCTGTGGATGAGGTTGGGTATTTTTAGGGCTGTGGAGAGAGAGCCACATAGCTGAACTTCTGTGGTGCTGGCCTGCTGCTGTGTGCCCTTAGTTACTGCTGTGAGTTTTGAATCAAAAATTGCTGTTTCTGAAAAAAAACAACAAAAACGAAAGCAAACAAGGACTTTCTCCAGCTTCAGTTGTGGGCCAGGAGGGGAATGAGGACCAGAGTGCTGGCACTCTGCAGAGGGGTCAGACACACGTGTCAGTCAAAACACGGGAGCAACGGAGCCACCTCTGATATCTGCAGTGGCCCTTTCTCTTGTATGTGTTTGCATGGGCATGTTCGGTAAGCAGATTCATTCATCTTGGCTGCAAATGTTACTTTAAATCCAGGTGGTACAGCGTAAGAGACAGTTTAGAAATTATGTAGCTTTCTGACTGATGAGCTCCTTTACTGTTGCCATCATTCCCCTAATAATTATGCCCATGCACAGCTCTGCGTTTGATTGTGCTGGAAGATGGATTCACGTTTCCTGCAGGCATGCTGGATAAAATGACTTCCGTTTCAAAGCTCTGTTTGCAAAGTTCCCTTTGTTCCTGCTGTGAAATCCCTGTGTTGAGCAGAGCCCATTCTGCTCCGAGACGCTTTTGAACACCATCTGGGTGGGTTCCCTGGGTTGCCTTCAGATTGTTCTCAGGATGCAGTCGGTGCTTGTCATTCAAGCTGATGCATAGGCCAAGAAAATAACACCAAGAATAATGTTTTGGTTTATGCTGTCAAAGAAAGAAAGGAGAAACTAAGTTTCAGAGCCTGAGCTCTGGGCAATTGGTCTATCCCTTTACCTTCTGAAATACTTGCTCCCTGGTCTGGTTGCCAGATTCGGACACAGGTCAAGTCAGTGGATTGAGACTGGGCAGCAAATAAAAGGAGAGCCAGGAGTCCTTTCTCCCTCTTTTTGCTTCTTCAGAAACCTTCTTTTCAGATGTTCTCATGGATCCAGCACAGACCTCCTGCCTGGAGAGGCTCCCGGGGCTTCCTGGACAAGCCAGCTTCCCGTACTCCTCACCAGGAGGGATCGTGGTGGCCCCAAACAGGCAGGGACGGCTCTTGAGGACAATGTCCTGGAGGACAATGGGAATCTGCGCGCAGCTGCCAGGCGGTGCCGGGTGCTGCCCAGGCACAAACCGGGCGGTCTGAGCGTGGTGAGCGCCTCGCAGGAGCACATTGCGAAGTCAGGGGAAGGCTTTTTCTGCAGCAGAGCACGGCACACAAAGAAGGCAGGCTGTGAACGGGACATTTTGCTCCCAGCCTGTGGCTCCTGCTGGCAGCGCTGAGTGGCGCGGAGCCATCCAGCCCGTGAGGCAGAGCTGCCACTGCAAGCAGGAGCTGTCCTCCCGCCGGCACCCCGGGGGACGAAGCCTTTTCTGGTGCACAGGAGCAAGGCGGGCAGTTCCCTTCTCACCGTGTCGCTGCCCGGGGTCTTAACGATGAAGGGAAACAGGGAAAAGCAATATAAACATGTCTGTGTCAGCTCAGATGTGCCTGTCGAAATAAGAATTTGAGATGAGACTTTGAATAGATTTTGGTATTGGGAAGGTCGGCAGTGGTGGGGGTCCACCCCTGCCACTGCCCGGCAGCGGGTGCACAAACGGAGCGGTGACTCCTGGCTCGGGGTGGGTGCAGCCAGAAGCATCCCTGCACGTGTGGTGGCTGTGAGAGCTGCACAACCTGACTTCAGAAAAGCCTCTTCTGAGCCACTGGTGGGACAGGGAGGGTCAGTTGTTGCTTTGCTGGCACACAGGTGCCATTGGAGCGGGGGACATCCATTATCCTGGGCTTTATCTGCACTCCTCTCGGCTGGAGGCATGGTGAGCCTGCTGGAGGAGCCCCCCATGGTTGCAGGCACATGCACCTTCCCAGGCAATAAAACATCCTCCACCTGAAGGCACTGCACAGTAGATTTGTTTTAGGCTTTTTCTGCTGATTTTGTTCAGTTTGAAATGGCTGGGGAAGACTTGGAAGCCTCGGTTTAGATGCCACCTAAATATATTTCAAGATTGCCATACTGAAGAAATGCATCGTCATACACAAAACTGGAGGTGTCTCTGGTAAACTAGAGCACAAACACAGGTGAAAATGAGATGCCTCTGTCCCTCGCTTCCCTTATGCTCAGGCTCTGAGTGCAAATGCTGCGTGCAGTAATGATGGCAATTAGACAGGATGGCTACATTGCAATTGTGAGTGTGACAAAAAGAAAACAAAGCTTTTGGCTTACTTGGTGTGCAGGGCTAAAGGAACTATTACACATTTCAGGAAAAATACTGGCTTACACGTCTTTGTTGACCTTACTGGCACACAGCAGTAAATAGGAGCGCAGGACTTGCCAGGCTGCATTGGATCCAGGTTTGTCCGGTCCCATGTCCCGTGTTTGGCAGGGACGTGGACTGAAAGAATTCCCCATGAATACACTACAAAGAAAAAGCTCCATTCTGCCCCCTCACATTTAGCAGCTGACACATGAAGCATCCAGGTTCCATTGTAAGTTATTGCCATTTTGATTGCAGCTGTTCATGCTTTTATTCACCTCAGCAATTCCCACTCCTGCCTGACCTGTACAGCACTCCCCACCCCAAGGGGAACTCGTGGCCATGAGTTCCTCTGGTTAGCAAAAGCACAGAAAAGTAATTACTGCCACCCAGCAGTTTATGGACGCTAAGTATAATGAGAGCAGGATTTGTGCATGATAGCCAGAAAGCGTCACATGTGCAGTGAACAGAGCTTTGGACCCAGTTTTCTGCTGTTTTTATAGGTTATTGATAGATTTGATAGATGCTTTTTTTTTTTTTTTTTTTTTTTTTTTTTTTTTTTTTTTACTGATATGTTTATGAAGATTTACTTGCAAAAGCTAAAAACCAGACACTGTACCTTATGTTTTTTAAAGTACTTCTCTTTTACGTCGTTCATGTTAAGGGTGACTACAACGGCTAAGACATACCCTATTCCCATCCCTGCGCTGCCCAGCACGTTCGGCTCTGCAGGATGTCCAGAGGGTTTGGGATGGAGCTGGGGCTGTGCTTCCGAGACCTGGGCAGAGCGGGGATGCCGGCCCGGCAGAGCCTCCTGCGGTGCCTGGCAGCCACGGCTGGGCTCGGGGGCAGCCGACAGGGCCTGAGCTCCAGTGGGGTTTTGGGTGTAGGGTGCCCATCACCATGTTGTAGGAACAGAGCCTCACCCACCGCCTGGTCAGGAGCCACGAACCTCGGCACTGAGAGCATTCAGAAACTCCTGTGCTTTGCGCATCCCTGGCAGACCCACTGCTCACTGCTGCAGCCATTCCAAATGCACCTGGCAGGAGCCAGGCTGTGCTGGCTACAGGCTGGCAGTGGGGACAAATCCTGCAGGCAGCAGAGTTTCTGGCCGAATTGGGGACATTGAGACAACTGGGACGTTATTATGCCTGCTCATATAGTCATCACCAATTAGCATTGTGAAGTGTTTGGTGAGACAAGGCTCCAGGACCCTGATTTAGAATTAATTTCTGCAGTGGAGCTTTGAGTCCAAGTTAATCACTGTTGGATTTGGGATTACCATGCTTGTAGGAAAGGCTGCTAAACCCACCACTTTTGTCATGATCCAGCAGCTCACAGGGCTTAACTCCTCACTGAAGGAAAATGTGCATGTCAGAGAGTTTTGTGATCCCTACGGGCCATTGGAGCTGCTTCTTTGGTAGAGGAGAAGAAGAAGGAGGGCCCTCACACACTGTTTCATTTTAAAAATGATTAAATTGAAGTTGCACTTAAATTCAAATCAGCCATTCAAATTAACAATTCTAATGTTCCTGATCTATTGATCTGTTGGCTAAGACCATTTTGAGCAGACTGTAATTAAACCACAAAAGCCTGGACACCAGTAATGCTGAGAGAGCAGCACAATAGCTAGGAGAGATTCATACAGTTCTGGCCTTAACCCGTTAAGACCCTTTTTTTTTTTTTTTTTTCTGAGAAAAGCAAGCACTATGCTGTCCCTCTTTCCAGATGCCCTGCGGCGGGCAGTGCACCAGGTTGTGCCTTTCCAGGAGAAGCGTCAGAGGCAACACATTTTCCTAGTGATGCTTTGCAGCTCAGCAGGGGCAGGATGGGCCATGCTTCTGCTGTCCGTTCCTGTGGGATTTCGGACAGAAGCAATTGCTCCATTTGCAGTGACCGGCAAGGTCAGCAGGGGTGCAGGGAGCTCCCACCAAGGCAAAAGGCCAGGAGAGGGGAACCCGGCCGCAGGGACTGCTCGCTCTGAGCTCCCAGCCGAGGCTGCTGTAGGAGGTGGGTATGGCACAGTCTGGGGGGGCTCAGTCCATTCCCCGTGTCACAGACTTGATTTATGTTGGTCCTTAAATGTGCCAATAGCAAGACTTTTTTGTTTCCACTGGGGGAGCTGGAGCTGTGGGTCTTTGTCTTAAGTTTGCCATCCTTAGACTCACGCTGGAAATCTCTGCTGAGCCGCAGCCAGCAGAGGACGGGCGTCTTGCAGGCACCACCAGGAGGGCTGCAGGGCTGCGGGGCTGCACTGCCATTTCTCTCTCAGCAAACTTTGTCCTTGGAAGCAGGTGCTGTGCTCCATCCCCGGAGACTTCAGGTTCTGCATATTGGCAGAATCAGTCCTCAAAACCCATCTATGTCTTTTTATTTATTTTTAATATAAGCAGTAATTGTTCCCAATGCTTGCACTACTTTCCCCTTTCCCACAACCATCTAACTCTGTTTATGGATAGCTTTCCCCCTCTTCTCCCTCCCTAGCATGCAGTGGGTTTAATAGCTTTGTACACACCTGACAAATGATCCAGCAGGACAGAAAAGTGAACTCACAGGCTGAACTTTGTGTGGTGTAAGCCCGGGGTAACTGCTCTGACTCCAGCAGGTCACACAGATGCACTGGGCAGCAGCCTTGCTTTCTTAGCAGGTCTATTGACTGGGCCTGTATAAACACCAGCTCTAATGTCTGCACAAATATTTCTGTCAAAATGAAAACCTAAATACTGAATGATGATTAGGAAAAAAAGGTTTATTCCTCCATTCTATTTTGATTTTAATTACAAAAGGTTAGCATTTTTAGTGCAATTTAAACAGAAACAACACAGGAAAAGGTCAAAACACAAGGGGCCTAGAACAT